TTATTATCTTTTTTTTAATATAACGATCGGTTGTTGTGTATTTCACAAAAGGATTTTTTTTTTTTTTTGTAATTTCAAAATGGCGGTTCGTAAAAAAAAGAGAAAAAAGATAAACGTTTTACCTTTTTTTCCAGCTTCAAAGGAATCCCCGGAAGGAATTTTTTCAATTATGGGGACTAATCTTTGTTTTGACAATATAAACGGATCCATATTGATTCTATCAATTGCATATTTAAATGCTATTTCCTGTTCCCATTGTTCTTCGGTAAATAAACCCGCTGAAAAATCAATAATCAATAATCAATAGAAAATAAAAAAAAAATCGATAACATCGTAAGAGAGTTTAAAAAAAAATTTCATTTATTTATTTATTTATTTAATTTTTTATTTTCGAATTATTTTCTCTAAACAACCTTGAATCCGCTCCAAATATTTTTTTTTTTTTATAGGGTCGGTGACAATATTCTCAAAAGTTAAATTTTTTCTTCTTCTTCTTCTTTTTGATCTTCTTCTCCGTTTTTTCATTTAAAAAAAAATTTTTTTCACTACCACCTCTACTACTATTACTACCACCCCTTAGTTCCTCTAACAACCCCTCTTTCTCTCCCCCTTCCCCTTCAAATAAATAATTAATGTTTAACATTAACAAAAATTCTTTTTTTTATTATAACAATTTATATTTTACGATGAACTCTTCGAAATTTACCCTAATCCGAATGGATTATAAGATTAATTTTATATTTAATTCGCGGATTAAATTAATAATAATAATAATGATGATTCGTTTTAGTTATTTTTTTAAAAAAAGGATAAAATTAAATTTAAATTTGAATTTTTTTTTTTTTGATTCATCGCATTTTATTTGTCAAATTCGTGGAATTAGGTAAAGGAAATAAAATTTTAAAAAAATGGGACGACGAATCGTGTTTTAAATTTTTTTTCTACTCCCACGTTAAAAAATATTTTTCTTGTTCTTATCGGAATTTTTTTTTTTTACATCCTTTTTTAGATTTTTATGCCGTTGATGCCTTTTTTGTTAAAACCCTTTCGAAGAATTTGAAGTTCACGTTAATCGCGACGGAATTCCTTCTTATATAAAAATTTCTAAAAATTATTTTTTTTCGAATTCCCTCCCCCCCGTCATTTTGCGGATAACATGACTACAACCATCAACGAAACATCTTAACAATGACCGGAAATGATTTTCGCATTTTCTGTATTTCATTCTTTGTTTCCGTGCTTCTTTGGCTGTCTTTGTACTAACAAAATCAAATCGTGTTTCTTTACGTCTCATACTACATGTTGGCAGTACTGAATGATGACGTGGTACGGTTATTACAACATTCTTCTTTTACCGATCCTTTCGTTTATGCGCCATTTTTTTTTGTGTGACGTCACGCCATTACAAAAAAATTTACAACCGCGTTTTATTTATAAGAATATAAGTATTACCATCGTCAAAAAAAAAATATTATATATAATATTTTAATACACAGTTTTTTTTTTTTTTCATATATTGGCAATGATTTCATACGTATATATAAATGCATAAAAACTTTTATTTATTGTTAAAAAAAAAAATATATATATTTTATGTTTATGAAATGGAAAAAATTTATGAAGTAAATATAACTAGTGAATATGACAGACCACAAAATTTATTGTGTTAAATTTTTTACCTTTTTTTTTTTTTTAAACTTTTACTCTCTCTCTCTCTTTCTCTCTATAGTCAGTCACCCCCTTCCCCCTCCCCACCTCCCTACCCGAAATTCCTTATTTATTATTCTTTTATTATTAAAAATTTTGTTTTTTTTGTAACCGATGAGAGAGAGAATTGTTTAGTCGTCAAAATGACAACCCTTCTTCTTATCTTCTTGATAACATTTAAATTTGTTTTTTTTTTGATGACGTAAACACGAATTATTATTATTATTATTTAATAAAGAAAAATTTCACGCGATTTTCCAAGTTTTCCAGTACTTATCGTTTTTTGATTTTTTATCGTGTTCTTACTAAGAGACATTATTACTGAAATATTGGCGATGGTGGTGCCATAAACAACATTTTTAAAAAGATCGTGAGGACGTCCCACACTAGGCAATTTTTTTTTTTTTTTAACATCCATTGGGTTTTTATGTTTGTTAAGTTGGCTACCACGAGTGTTTGAACACGTGATCAAAAATAAATTTTTACTTTTGACTTCTCACTCGTTCATTCACCCATTTTTTCTTTGGCTTTGATGTTTTTTTTTCCCGCGCCGGTACATATTATGACGACATCCGGTTTGTTGTTGATTGTCTGTTTGTTGATAGTTTGTACAATTCTGTCCATCGGTCTAACGTCATTACGATATAAAATTCAGTAATAATTTAAATTTTTTTACGCCATTTTTAAATATTTATTTATAAAAAAAAAATTTCAATTTTTTATAAAACCAAACACGAAAACATAAACAAACAAAAACTTCCAGATAATTTTTCCCACAGGATTTTCCCTTAACGCTCTTTTATCATTTTTTATTTCGGTCAAAATTATCAGTTCTTTTTGTACTTTTTTAAAAAAAAAAAAAACTCATCAGATCATATTTTTTTCAAGCGCCATTTCCCTTAAGTGCTTTTCTAATATTATATATAAATATATTTTTTAAAGGAACAAAAAAAAAGGAAAAAAGGAAAAAACGACAATTGAACCTTTTCCTTAAGGTAGTAGTTTATTTTACTTATGTTTTATTTCTTTGTTCCTTTTTTTTATAACCCCCTTTTTTTTATTTTTATTTCCTATT